TTTCTGCTCGTTTCTGCCCTTCCCCCAGGAGCACTCTGCAAGCCCATCCCCACAAGGCTATTCATGCCTTTTATTTGAAAAAAAACATGCCCATTTTTGCGAAAAACAGGCTGTGTTTGGGAGGTTTGCAGAGTGCAAAACCTTTTTTTTTTTCCTTTTGGAAAGCTCTTTAACTGATTGGTGAGAATTACATTGATCAAGTGCTGTGCCAGCAGAAACAAAGTCCGTGATTTCCTTCTCCAGCACATGGATAAATATACCTGGAAACATCTACCTACCTACCTACTCTCTCTCTCTCACTACCTACCTACCTATTGTATTTTTCCTCTCTCTCCCTCTCTCTCTCTCTATCCCTCTCCCTCTATCTACCTACCTACCTACTTACTCTCTCTCTCTCCCTACCTATCTACTGTATTTCTCTCTCTCTCTTTCTATTTCTCTCTCTATCCCTCTACCTACCTATCTACCTACTTACGCACACTCTCTCTCCCTACCTACCTACTGTATTTCTCTCTCTCTCTCTCTCTCTCTCTCTCTCTCTCTCTCCTTCTCCCTCTCCCTCTCCTTTTATCTACCTACCTACCTACTTTTTTAAAAAAATTGCCTCTTCAAAACCTTGGTGCGTCTTATACTCCGGTGCGTCTTATACTCTGAAAAATATGGTACTCCGAGATTGCGTATCAGAAAGTGTGATTACATATTAATACAAAATGTTTTTTTTTTTACTAATAGTGGGGAAGCAGTGGACATGCTCAGTGTGTGATAAAAAGTATGTCACAGATTACATGCTTCAAAAGCATATCCAGCTGACTCATGATAAAGTAGAAGCTCAGAATTGTCAACTCTGTGGGACAAAAGTGTCTACTAGAGCTTCAATGAGTCGTCACATGAGAAGAAAACACCCAGAGGTGAGTATAGTGGCAAATTAACAAATCAGAATTTTTGTTGGCTTCCTTGGAGACACATAAGAAATATAGATTCTTGTTCTGGAACACTAATAGCAATCCAATAACTCAGGTCTCTTCAACCTTGGCAACTTTACCACTTGTGGACTTCAACTCCCAGAATTCCTCAGCCACCATAAAGTCTCCAAGTCCACAAGTGGTAAAATTGCCAAGGTTGGAAAGCCCTGCAATAATTCACTTGTTTTCCTGTGGTGCTTATTAAGATTCTTCTGATCTCAATAAGGTTAATACATAATGCAGTGTACTCTGCACACAGTTAAAGACCACATGGACCATGGTTTTTAATTTGGGAGAAATAGAAAGGACTAATTCCTAACATTAGTAAGTTAAAATAGAAAGTCATCTTTTCCTGATATAGTATTTAGGGCTCTTGTCTAAATATTCTGGCATTTTAAATGTTGTCTTTTAACAAGAAGAGAAAGAAGGACATACCGTATTTTCACCCATATAACCCGCGGGTTATACGCGTTTTTTACAAACACAGCACGCCCCTGCGGGGTATAAAAGTGGGCGGGGTATACAGAAAACATTTTACACAGATTGACTACAGTAAATTGCCCCGCCACGAGTAAGAGAGAAGGGAATCTGCTGAGACGAAAGCCTGTGCCATTTGCGGAAGGGTTGGAGGAACGGGAGGAACGGAAGGGTTGGGGGGGAGGGAACGTGAGCCCAAAGCCTCTGCCAGCTGCGGAAGGGTTGGGGGAACGGGAAGGAAAGTGAACCGAAAGCCTCTGCGAGCTGCGGAAGGGTTGGGGGGGGGAAGGGGGAAGGAACAGGAGGAACGGGAGACGAAAGCCTCTGCGAGCTGCG